TATTTCGGATTTCTGATCTTCAAGAGGAGATCTATCGTTTGAAGCAAGGAGATAAAAATGTCACAGAGTATTTTACTGAACTTAAAACTCTGTTTGATACATTAGATAATTTGAAGCCATTACCAATTTGTAGTTGCTCGACCAAGTGTTCATGTGGTGGATATTTGAAAATGAAGGATTATCGTGATCGAGATTATATCATAAGGTTCCTCAAGGGATTAAATGAGCAATATTCACAAGTCAGATCCCAAATAATGTTGCTTAAGCCTCTTCCTGATGTTTCTCAGGCTTTTTCCATGGTAACTCAACAGGAACGACAGTTTCAAGGTGAAGGTCGTGCAGGTAACAACCAATCTTTTGTTGGCTTTTCTGATAATGCTTCTTTTCGAAGAAATCATGGTGCTAGAGGTTTTAGAGGAAGAGGCAGAGTTCCTCTCAACAATTATGGTGGAGGTCGTACTCAACTTACAAAGATTTGTACTCATTGTGGTAGATTTAATCACACTGTTGAAACTTGCTTTCACCTTCATGGTTTTCCACAAGCATAAAACCACGAAATCCTGCACCTCATGCTACCAATATTGTAGCACAAAACACATCTGATGTTTTTACTAGCAAATCAGATTCAGCTTCAAGTGTCACTCTTTCTGGTGATCAATATCAGCACATTCTGAGCCTACTCCAGAAGAATAATGTTACTTCCGCTTCTGCTCCTTCTACCAATCATGCCACAAATTTTACACAAGTATCCAATTTTAATACTGCATTGATGGATCAGCCAGGTAACATAGATTCATATTGGCTTTTAGACAGTGGTGCCACAGATCATGTGACATATTTGAGATCCCAATTTACACAATTGAGAAAGATCCAACCTATCTCTATTAACTTGCCTAATGGAGTCACAGTTCTTGCAGAATTTTCTGGAACTGTTCATGTTTCTCCTACTCTTGTTTTATTTGATGTTCTTTTTGTTCCCCAATTTAAGGTTAACCTCATTTCTGTTGCCAAACTGTTAACTCATGTCCCTTGTTCTCTAATTTTTTGTGCCTCTCATTGCCTTATACAACACATCCATACCCACATGAAGATTGGTATTGCTGAGCAACGAAATGGGCTATATGTGATCATGGGAAAGAATATCAAGGAAGCTTGTCATATGCAGAGATATAGTAGCAATAAAGACACTCAAATTTGTAATATGCAGAAACATGATTCTGTTGTTTGGCATAGAAGACTTGGTCATATACCACATATTGTAATGAGACAGATGTCTCTTAGATTTCCTTTTATTTTGGGTGACTGTTTGCACCCTTGTGATACTTGTCACTTGGCAAAACAGAAACAATTGTCATTTCCTATTTCTGTATCGAATTCAATACATAGTTTTCAGCTGATTCATGTTGACATTTGGGGCCCTTTTGCTATTGCTTCCCTTGAAGGTTATAGGTATTTTTTGACCATAGTTGATGATTATTCAAAATTTACTTGGGTGATGTTAATGAAGGCTAAATCTGAAGCTAGTTCTCATATAAAGAATTTCGTGGCTTTTATTGAGACTCAGTTTCACACTACCATTACTGTTATTCGAAGTGACAATGGAAAGGAATTTCTCATGGCTGATTTTTATTCACAAAAGGGAATTGTTCATCAATGCAGTTGTGTGGAATGTCCCCAACAAAATGGTATGGTGGAGAGGAAACATCAACACATCCTCAATGTGGCTAGAGCCCTCCTTTTTCAATCCAATTTGTCAATTTCCCTTTGGAGTTATGTTATCACACATGCTGTTCATTTAATCAATCGAACTTCCACTCCCATTTTAGCCCACAAAACACCTTATGAGGTTCTCCACAATCAACCTCCAATTCTTCTTCATTTGAAAGTGTTTGGTTGTCTTGCTTTTGCTTCCACCCTTCATGCCCATCGTTCAAAATTCTCTCCTAGGGCTCGCAAATCTGTTTATTTAGGTCATAAGGCTGGTGTTAAAGGTTCTGTCTTATATGACCTTTTGTCCAGAGAGATATTTTTATCAAGAAATGTTTTTTTTTATGAAGATCACTTCCCATTTCTTGATACCACATATAAGCCAGAACCTATTGCTTCTTCTGATACTGCAGTTGCTACCCTCCCTACACCTCAACCATATCTTGACTTTGACCATTATTTTTTTATCCCTACAGCTCCCACCTCTCTACCTGCTGATACATCACAGTGTGCATTTGATCAACATACTTGCAATGATAATGTTCTATCTGCTCATGGAGACACTTCACCTACTGTTATTGAGGATCCTACACAACATGCTACAACTCATGATTTATCTCAGCCACCTCAACTTCGCAGATCCACCAGGATAAAGGCAACTCCTAAATATCTTGACCAATATCACTATAGCCCTATCATCAATCAGCATACCAATTTTTGTGAGAGTAAGTTATTTTCCATACCTCCCAAACATTCCATTTCTACTGTACTCTCTTATGTAAATTGTTCTTCTCAATATTCACATTTCTGTCATAATATATCCACTAATGATGAACCTAGTTGTTACACTCAAGCTGTTAAATCAGTACATTGGAGAAAAGCAATGGAGGCAGAACTTCAAGCCTTGGAACAAAACAATACATGGAATATTGTTGATCTCCCCTCTGATAAACAATCTATTCAATGTAAATGGGTTTACAAAATCAAATACAATTCAGATGGCTCCATTGAACGATACAAGGCAAGACTAGTTGCCAAGGGATTCACTCAATTGGAGGGAGTTGATTTTTTTGATACCTATAGTCCAGTGGCAAAATTAGCTTCTGTTCGTAATCTTCTATCAATTGCAGCTGCTAAAGGCTGGTTCATTCATCAATTAGATGTGAACAATGCCTTTTTACATGGGGACCTCCTTGAAGAAATTTACATGGTACCTCCACAAGGTTTATTTCTACCTAAACAGGGCCAAGTATGTCATCTCCAAAAATCCATTTATGGATTAAGACAAGCTAGTCGCCAGTGGCATGCGAAGCTATCTACTTTTCTTCTATCCATAGGATACATTCAGGCACATTCTGATCATTCTTTATTTCTCCTTCATCAGCATACTTCTTCTACTGCTTTACTGATTTATGTTGATGATATTCTCATTTGTGGCAATGACTTTACTGAGATTACAAGAGTCAAAAAGTTGCTTGATGACAGATTTCGTGTTAAAGATCTGGGAGAATTACGTTATTTTCTTGGATTAGAAATGGCTCGCTCTTCCAAAGGTATTATTTTGAATCAACGGAAATATATGCTGGACATCATCAAGGATTCTGGTCTTCTTGATAGCAAATTTGTTTCTTCCCCAATGGAAGCTTGTGCCAAGCTTCAAAGTAATCAAAGGACCCTCCTTTCTGATCGTTTTCCCTATCGAAGACTTGTTGGTCGCTTGTTATATCTCACCAATACTCGCCCTGACATTTGCTTTGCTGTTCAAACTCTCAGTCAGTTCATCTCTGCTCCTACCAATATTCACATGGCTGCTGCAAAACGGGTTGTTCGTTATCTCAGACAAGCTCCTGGTACTGGTCTATTTTTTCCAGCAAAGAATGATCTTCGTGTGCAAGCTTTTGCAGATTCCGATTGGGCTACATGTCCAGAGAGTCGAAAATCCATTACTGGATTTTGTGTCTTCATTGGTTCTTCTTTGGTAACCTGGAGGACAAAGAAGCAATCTACCATCAGTCGTTCCTCAACTGAAGCGGAATATCGCGCCCTTGCAAGCCTCTCCTGCGAAATCCAGTGGCTTCAATACTTCTTTCAAGACCTTCATTTGCCATGGCCGTCACCAGCTTCTGTGTATTGTGATAACCAATCCGCCATACATCTTGCTCATAATCCCATGTTTCATGAGAGATCCAAACATATTGAAATAGATTGCCATGTCACTCGCAGCAAAATTCAATCTGGTCTCCTTCGACTTTTTCCCATTGGCACTTCTCATCAACTCGCTGACACATTTACCAAACCTTTGGGTCGTGCTGCTTTTACTGATGCTGTTTCCAAGCTGGGGATGTTTGATATACATCGTCCAGCTTGTGGGGGGGTCTTGGAACAAAGAAGTCCCACATCTGATAGTAATCAAACTAGTGTTGCTAATGCTGTTAAGATTATGCCACGTGGACTGGCAAAACAGAATTAGGTTCTTGTTAGACTTTCACGCGCTTTTATCTTACTTCTTTCTGATGTAAAACAGCACTTGTATAAATACTTGGAAGAGAAATGAAAACAGTAGATTGGTTTTTTTTTCCCAAAATGAATGTTAGTTTCATCAAGTTTGAGAATTATAGCAGTTTTAATTTAAACAAATAACCCAAAATCCTAAAGCTTTCATTACTAACCCACTTCTAATAACTTAAGAGTTCAGTAGGTTTTGTTTTTTGGTCAAATTTCAACTTTTTTATTTTATCATAAGAGAAGATGTGAATTGTACATCACACAAAACATCTTGTGTTCACATCGTAGTTAGTAATTTATAAAAATATTTTGAAAAAGGAGAATAAAAAAAAAACTGCAGAATTAAACAAGATTAGTGATGAGATTTATTAAATTCAGCTAGAAATAAATATTCCACATAATGCAAATTAATAGTTCTCTCACCAATCAGGGTTTACTCTCCTTTTGAAATTTCAGTTACTTTCCAAGAAATAGAAATAACGTTTGCTGAGTTTTCACTCCAACAACATCCTGAACCCCACCCAAGAGAGATAAAGAGAGCTTGTCATTTTCTATGTAGAAGTCCTGTTCTGTCATAGTCCAAACTCCAAACTCTATATGCTAAAAAAATATACGAACTTCATGTGGAGGCAAAGCCAAGCATCCCCTAATATAGGAAATTTTATATTTCTATATCATTTTTGTTGCATATTTAAGTATCAATTATATTATGATATTTGATTTATTAGACAAATTAAGTGGTCATTTAAAAAAAAAATACAATAAATTTCTAATTAAATATGGACTAAATGATTAGAGTCTATTCAGACAACATAAAAAGAATGGTGTTGAGTGATAGTTTTCACTGTAAATTTTAATATTTAAATCTGTACGCCAAACAAACCCCAAGTTCGTATTTAACTTCCTATCCTTTGTTCCTCAACTTGCCTTCTTCATAACCAAGTCAATAGCCAAAACTTGAAACAAAAAACATCGTCCTTCTTAGTCCAATGTCTCTTTCTCTTTAACAACCCCCGCCCCCATAGTTCTCCACAACAATATTAAAGCCTTGAAACCCCATTGACATGCCTGTACCAAATACCAAGCAAGGTTAGGTGAAATATAGCAACCTTAAGCACCATCAAAGCCTTCCTTATGCAGCATAACCTGACAAGGGTTCTTGAGATTCTCCTCTGTTGTTGATCAGGAGGTGAATTGCCAAATGACAAAAACTACAACTACCCATTGAAGAGGAGGAACTCAAAGTACTGTTGTTTTGGCTTTTGGTGTTGTCCTGCCTTGTTGTGTTTGGACAAAATGCAGCTGCAGATATCACCAAGTTTGAGGCATGTCACTGTGCTTCCGGCTAAAGGGTTGAAGGAATTTATCAAAGTGACAGTTGCATCAAGGAAGCTTTCTTATCGGATGCTCTTCTATGCACTCTTGTTCTTCACTTTTCTTCTCCGGTTTGTGTTTGTTTTAACAGCAGTGGATAGCATTGATGGAGAAAACAAGTGCTCTACGATAGGTACAATATCAGCTTCTCTCTTTCTCTGTCTCTCTTGCATCCACAGAAACACACTGACACATACACACAGTCACAAACATAAACACTTACATGCATACACAGAAAGACATGAACAAATAGTTATATCAAAGAATATATGTATTGTACAAAGCTTTGAACTTTTCAGGATTAGTAAATAGTTATATATATTGTGCAAATGGTCACCAACCTTTGATTTCAAATTTTTATGATTAATGATAAACGGGGCTTTTAAATATTAAAGGAGCTCGAAACCAATGGAAACGAAGCATTAACATTGTGTGTTTTTTTTTTCAATTTTGGCTACTCATGTATATTTGGTTATGAGATGCATTACCAAGATTATGAATATCTACTGAGTTTCCTTTGTCGGAAATACGTATCTTGCACTGTAATAGTGTAGTGGGATTCTTCAATGGTTACTGTTGGCTAAACTTGATATCATCCACTTTATTTTCGTTTTGACAGTAGATAAGGTACGCTATGTAACAAAAATATATGCACATTCAATATCGACTACATGCTCTAAAAAGTACAATAACAAAGGATGAATTCCACAATTTGCAAATCTCATGTTCTGAACTCATAAATTTAAGGTAGTGATAAATTCTCTGACCTTTTGAAGCAAGTGCATTACTTTTTAGGTCTAGAAATTACAATTCTAGTAAATGTGACTATTTATGTATATATATGACCTTTTGGTTTACTAAAAATAATATTTGCAGGTTGCCTGGGAAAAAAACTGAGGCCAAAGATTTTGGGAAGAAGTCTTGAACCAGCTGTAATCTGCTGAACTCTAATTATATTTGTCAGCATGTGAATCCATATGGTAATTAATTGACCTGAATTTTCTAATACTGGCTGAATATGACATTGGTTTCTGATAGGTCCCGGAAGTGATATACGGAATATTAAATCAACCCCTAGGCAAAGTTGAACTAGAGGGAAGGTCTGATATCCCTCAGACTTTAGAAGAGTTCATGGCCGAAATGAAGGAAGGTAGATATGATGCAGAGACATTTGCAATTAAACTACGAGAAATGGTACCATTTTCTCACTCCTTTAATCTAGAGGAATTAGAATAAGATTAATCTAATGCAAAAATAACAGTTTTCCACGTTCAAGTCTCCATTACTTAGTGCTGAACATTTTCTTAGGTAACTCTTATGGAACAAAGAACCAGGACTGCCAAAATCCAAGAATATTTATATCGTCATGTAGCATCAAGCAGCATACCTAAACAGCTTCACTGCCTTGACTTGAGGCTGGCCAATGAGCACACCAACAATGCAGCAGCACGCCTTCAGCTACCCTCAGCAGAACTTGTCCCTGCCCTGGTTGACAACTCCTATTTCCACTTTGTCCTTGCCTCAGACAATGTGCTGGCAACCTCTGTGGTTGCCACATCACTTGTCCGCAACAGTTTGCGACCTCAGAAAGTTGTTTTGCACATAATCACAGATAGAAAGACATATTATCCCATGCAGGCTTGGTTTTCATTGCATCCTTTATCACCTGCTATAATTGAGATCAAGGCATTGCACCATTTTGATTGGTTTACAAAGGGAAAAGTTCCTGTGCTGGAAGCAATGGAAAAAGATCAACATGTACGATCACAGTTTAGAGGGGGTTCATCAGCTATAGTTGCAAATACTACTGAGAAGCCACATGTCATTGCAGCAAAGCTGCAAGCACTTAGTCCCAAGTATAATTCAGTGATGAATCACATTCGGATATATCTTCCAGAGGTAAAAACGATAGCAATAGGAAGTAAATCTACTTTTTGACAGCTTATAACTCAGAATGATTATTTTATTTTATTTTTATGCCTGTGATGCTTACTGCCATAATAAATGTTCTAAACAGTTGTTCCCAAGCCTTAACAAGGTGGTCTTCCTCGATGATGACATTGTAGTACAAACAGATCTTTCACCTCTGTGGGACATTGACATGAATGGAAACGTCAATGGAGCAGTAGAAACATGCAGTGGAGGAGATAAGTTTGTGATGTCAAAGAGGTTGAAAAGCTATTTGAACTTTTCCCACCCTCTAATATCCACAAATTTTGATCCCAATGAATGCGCTTGGGCTTATGGCATGAACATTTTCGACCTGGCAGCTTGGAGGAAGACCAATATAAGCTTTACATACCATTACTGGGTAGAGCAGGTACATGTATCTTCCATCCTACCATAACACTGTAAAGAAAAAGAAAAAAAGTAAATTACTTTTGATATGTTTAAAATTTGTCATTAAAATTTGAGTTTCCACGATAGATAAAGATAGTACAAAATTACAATAATCGTTTTATGCTTTATGCAGAATATAAAATCAGACCTCAGTTTGTGGCAGCTAGGGACATTACCACCCGGATTAATAGCATTCCATGGTCATGTCCACACTATTGATCCTTTCTGGCACATGCTGGGATTGGGATATCAGGAAAATACAAGTTTTGCAGATGCTGAGAGTGCTGGTGTCATCCATTTCAATGGCAGGGCAAAGCCATGGCTAGATATAGCTTTTCCACAACTAAGGCCATTGTGGACCAAGTATATTGACTTCTCGGATTACTTCATCAAGAGCTGTCACATCAGGGCATCGTAGCTTGGATCTTGAGAAAATGTGGCCTTTATGATCAGTGAAGAAAAGTTATTTGCATATATAAGGAAAGATGAAAATCAGAGGACTTCCAAGCATAAGCCCCCATCCACGACAAAGAAGAGACAACAATGATATGGCATGATGCTCCCTTCTTGTTATAATAATTTTTAACTTTTCAGTTGAAATTCTCAATTCTTTTTCTCGTCAAATTAACATTGTAAGTATGAGTATTTGTATATCATATATGTATGTATAAAGAAAATGCAGTTCTTTCGGGAAACAAACAAGCAAGCTGATGGCTTAAAAATAAGCTTTTAGTAAGATGAAATAAAAGATTTCGAGGAAAAGACAAAAGGACAATTGAAAATCCTATTTTGTTGCCCATTTATATAATATATCACAATAACAGCAAAGCTTTTACCATGATGTATTTGATATGCAGACAGTAGTATCCTGCAATCTATGACGTCATGTTTTTCGCAAAAATACATGGATGCGTAAGTATACTGTATGCAAAATATCAAAAACTTAGAATTATCTCCCAAAGCAACCTGACTTCTGAATCAGAATGGTTGGTACCATTACATGCCCTACATTCACTGATACAAGTTCAATCAAGTGGAAATTTGTTGAAAGTTGCCAAATTAAGTAAATGCCTTTAAGTATGAAGTCAGCATTAAAACTATTGGATCTATACTTCCATACTTCATCATGCTGCTTTGCCCATTCATCATATACTCATCTACTTTTTAGCTCATTTTGCATCTGAAAAATGCTGTGTTTCTACTATATATTGTAGGCATTGTCTGGAGTAACTGCAACATTATGTTCTATGTTCTTGGCATCTGTTATAAGTTCTGCTTGTTCATGAACAAAAGGTAAACATTGTTTTTATCCTCGAGATATCAGAGGAGAAAAATCTGTCAGAAAGAAGTGAAATTGTGACAATAGGATTAAGCTCACAAATACTTTCAAAGCCCAACTAAAAAAGAAAAGAAAAAAGATGACATCTTTTTTTTTTGTAATAAAAAGATGACAGTTTTTACATGCCGTTCAACAACAGATCTGAAAAATTTACAAGGGACAAGTAACTCCACCTCTAGCTGCTGATATCAAAAGAATGAAGTACCCAAAAGAAAATGGATACCTCTATAAGAAGATAGACGACCAAATTAAAGTCCAATAAAACCAGCTGACAAAAAGCATTGATGTCCACATCATATTTATAGTCTAACTTTAATGAGGGAATGAGTTAGGTATTAACCCAATAAATGATCATATAGTAAACTAGAAAATAAAATCTGAGCTTCTAAATAATCCCCATTCCTTGTATCCCTTTTGTACATTCTTTCATAAAGGTAGATTTTAGACGATCACTATGCACATTCCTAAAATAATTATCACCAAAATAAACCATAGCCTTTGAAAAAGCTCCAATTAATTGTGCAACAATAACATGAGGAAAATATCAACAACTTCAATGCCTAAGACAACTCAAAATTAGGCTTGTATGTTTAACTAAAGAACTCTTCACTTTTTGTTTAAAACACCACGAGAAACATATATCCAAAAAAATATATAAAAAAAATCCAACTCTACCATCCATAATATGGGGTAAATTGAGTCAACTATACTGTATCCAAAAAAAAGAGAGTCAACTATTAGAGATAACAAGCCCAGCTGAAAGCTTTGATATCTGAAACACTAACAATGAGTAGTGACTAGAAAATCCATAAAAGTAGATGAAGCATAAGACCACTACAATGGGAAGAAAAAAGTATACTTATGTTAATACTCAAAAAAAAAAAGTATCTCACCTAGTTTTACTCTTGCAATAGGCCTATAGCAATCATTTCATGAATAAGTTTCTCAACCTTATCATTCTCAACTTTTTCGAAGAGAGCACGAATAATTGTTTCGAAAGTTATAGCATTAGGGATGCAACCATTCTCTTCCATTTTTGACCGCAAGGCAAATGCTTCTTCAAACAAGCCCACTTTACAAAGCCCAATGATCATAACATTATATGTTATGAAATTTACATGATAGCCTTAAATCAAAAGATTATGAAAAACCTCTTGAGCATTCTTAAGTCTTCCACCTTTGCATAGTCCATCAATAAGTATATTATATGTCTACATATTTGGCAGAATTCCATGGTCTTTAATTTTTGTGAATAATGCAATTGCCTTGTCAAGATGATGGTTTTGGCATAAAAAGTATAATAAGGAATTATAAGTGATTACATCGGCTAGTTGACCTTTATCATGCATCTCATCAATAAGATCCCAAACACAAGAGATTCTCCCAGCTTTGCACAAGCTATCAATAGGAGAGTCGTAAGTTACCGTATTAGGAATCATATTTTTGCGATGCATTTCTCCAAAGAGATTCATTGCTTCATCCACCATTCTAATCTTACATAATCCACTAATCATAAAATTATAGCTCTGAACATTAGGATTCACTCCACTTTGGGCAATTTTGTACGATACATATTTTGCAATGTTCACTTCATTAACTAAGCAATACCATTCCATTAATGTACTGTAAGTAACAACATTAGGTTTTAAACCTCCTTTTATCATCACAGCTAATACATTTTTAGCTTCTTTGACATTTCCTTCCTTACATAATCCATCAACTAATATACTAAAGGTATTAACATCCGGGTCGATGTTTTTCAGCAGCATTTGACTTAACAACCCAATTGCGGCTCTCAATTGACCCAGGATGCAAAAGCCAAAGATTAGAGCATTGTAAGTGACAACACTAGGATGAACTCTCTTGACAACCATTTTAGAATACAAATCACAGGCATCAGTTACAAGTTCATCTTTGTATAGGCTATCAATGATGATGTAGTACATTACCACATTAGGTTTAATCAATTGACCTTCAATCTTTCTCAGCAATTGCAAAACTGCTCTCATTTCTCCTATTTTACATAAACCATTGATCAGGGTTCCATAACTAACTTGGTTCAACTGAAATCCTTGTGCCACCACGTTGTCATGAAAGAGCAATGCTTTCTTAACCTGACCACTAAGACAGAGACCTTTCGAAAGTGTTGTCAAGGTTATGGTATTTTGCTGATAACCCCTCTTAAGAATGTTACCCAATACAGAAAAAGAAAAAGCAATTTGACCCAGGTGGCAGTAAGAATTGATCGATAAGCTCAAAGTAACAATATTTGGGTTAATTCCCCTTAATTCCATATGTCTAGAAAGGGAAAGAGCAATTGGCTAATGCTTTATCATCACAAGAGATCATAAAATATTGCCAAATTCGATGATGCGTGGGGTAGGACGCATATAGAGCATACGAGTGAATAAGAGAACAGCGTCATCAGCATTATCAATGAATGGGGCTTGAGACTGAGAATGAGAGTATACCGAATTGAAGCAAAGAAGGAAAGTGGGGTTTGAAAGAAACCTTGAGATGGAAACAGCATACCTTAACCTTGATATTGACATTGTTGTTGAACTCAACATGTGTTGGTAGGCGGTAGCTACCAATTGTGTTAGGGTTGGTTTTTGTAAAATGAAAACGGCTTGAGCGTATTTTACTTATACAGAGCATTGATATAGGTCAAGTTGGATCCCCTGATGTCTTTTCACGGTAACCAAACAGGGTTAAGTGCCTTCGTTGATGGATAAGGGTAATTGGGTAATTCAATATAAATACTATCCGTTTCTATTTTGAAACCCTGACCAAAGTGTCACTGTTCATCAATTTTTTTATCTAGATGTCACGCGAACAGTCTTATTTTTCAATCTGTCACAGGGGCAAGTTCGCTACCTGGTGTAGCGAACTCGATTTGCTGACGTGTCACATTTCTAGTAGATAACAAGTACCAAATTAAAAAAAAAAAATGTTTTGAAGTTCACTACCTCGTATAGCGAACTTGGTGTCCACTAGAAACATGACACGTCAGCAAACCGAGTTCATTACATCGGGTAGCGAACTCGCCCCCGTGGCAGATTGAGAAATAAGACTATTCGCGTGACATTTAGGTAAAAAAATTGGCGAACAATGACATTTTGGTCATTGTTTCTTCTATTTTCGGGTTTGTATCTTTAGTTTAAAAAAATAAAATAAAATAACTTTTGATCCTCAACAAAAATCACGCCACCCCCATTTTAATCATTTACAAAAAAAATAAAAAAAATCAAGTTGTAATTACTTTGAATTTTAAAATAGATCCAATTAGTAAAAATTATGGTATTCTATAATTCAAGGAAGACTCCACATTAGTTTCTCAAAAAGACTAAGATGGATTTATTTTGAATTTCAGAAGGATCACGAGTTAACTTTTTTTTTTCTAAGAAATTAAATTGATCCTGTAATATTTATTGAGGATTCAAAAGGTATTTTACTCTTAAAAAAAATTACAATGACTTAGTTTATTTTTATATATGGTTTTTAAATTATAAAAAATAAAAATTATCTTTAACAATATCTTAAATGAGAAAAGTGTGTGTCATTTTAAAAGATGTAAAGTTGTGTCATTTTAAGAGAAAGAAAGAAATAGATAAAGGAGAAGAGAGAGTTGACAAAAAAAATAAAAGTATGAGTCTTACCTCTTTATAAGAGTAAAATAATATAAGTTATGTCATTTAAAGTGATAAACAATTTTCCCATGTTAAATACATGTTTGGATGTATACCATCATCTTTTAAGTTTCGTGAATAGTATAACCGTCTTCTCTAAGATGATGAATTTTGCATAAAGCCTCCGATAAGAAATTGATATAAACGGTTTGCTTAAACCACTGAAAATGAATCAGCAAAGTCACTGGTTTCACTTAAGTTGCTCTCTTCCTCAAATGCCATTTTTGGGTTGAATATAATTTATAACCACTGGCTTTGGATAAAAGGCATTGCATATGTTTCATCCGGGCCCACACACAAGTCTCTGCCAACAATACTACTGCCACATCTGCAGAATTCAAGATTCTGGGGTCAGTGTGGGTAACTGGAGGAATGTCTCTGTGTTCAACTTGGGTGGTTGGTGGCAACCTCTTTTAAGCTGGGATCAGGGCACATGATCAAGATCTTAATGGGTCAGGACTCACCTTTTCTTTTGATGGTTATGTTCCTAAAAACATCCAAGACTCGAGCAAGTTCGGATAGTGAGTCTAGCAAGTTATGTATGTATCAATGGAATTTCAACCCTGAACCTGGGTTGCTTTACTTTTCTTTTTTCTTTTTTGCTTTAGTTTATTTATTTTGCATGTAAGTTAGGCGTTGTTGAGAGAGAAGTTTAAGCCAGCAGCATAGTCTCCTCTTTTGAGATGGTTGAGTTATGAGAAGAAAGTTAGGATTGGATGGGTGTGGATGTAGCTTTAAGGGAAACACTTGGGATTTGGGGGTATGTACTTCAACCCCATCCATCTCGTCATATATCGATCTTTACATTTGAGAAACTTCCAACAATCTGAATTTAATCCGTCAGCTTACAAAAGGACATATGGCTGCAGCAAATTTAAAACTAAACCACCATTTGCTCTTATTGCTTCCTTGATTGTTAAAACATTTCTACTTACAAGAATGCATTCTTCCCTATTTTGCAAGCCTAAGCCAAAATAACATTGCTGTCTACCTTGACATTGGATTATCTCAGAAGGCATTAGCAACTATTGGAACTGAGGCGAGGAGCCAGATAAGCTTATAACATTTACACGCAAATATCAGCATAATTCATAGTAGTATCATATGCCAAATACAGTCAGAAGTCACCATCGGTCCAGTTAGAATCCTTAGTAGAAAACTAACAAAGCCAAGAAGGTATGGGTAAATGGATACAGCATTGAGCCAATACGGAAGCCCAAAGAATTATCCAGTGCCAACTTAGGCAACTGGAGGACGGAGTACGTGATCCTGAGAGGTATCTACTGCAGCAGGTGGCATAAACTGCCACATTGCTACTCCTGGATAACTAATGAAAGGTACCAATTTGTTGCCATGGGCTTGGCCTTGTGCAGCAAATGCAGCAGGGATTGCAGCAGGGGGAGGCAAGAAACTAGGTTGTGTATTCATTGATTTCAGCTGCTGCTCCAACTTCTCTTTCTCTGCCTTGAGCCTCTGTTTCTCATCACGAAGCTCATTTTTCTCAGCCTACACAAAAGATAGGAATTTAATTTTTCATTCAGCTAATATTATGAGTTTATCAGTCCCCACTAGGAAAAAGCAATACTTTTAAGGCAGACTACTAAAGTGATCTAGAATACAGAAGTCACCAGAAGTCATTCCATCAATAAAAGAGTATTATCAAATATAAATAGAGACTTCACCTTTAACTCTTTAATCTTTTCTTGAAGACCCATATTATTGTCTTTCAACTTCTGGGCTTCACCCCGTAACTGTGTAACCATTCGGACAGCATCAATCAGGATAGCAGCCTTGTCTGTTTTGGTAGGCCTTCCAGGCTCCAAAATGGAGCCCAATTCAACAAACCTAACCATGTCCACCATATTACATACAGAAAAACCCACAAGAAAAATAGAAAGACAGAAAGAAGGTAGTTGAAAGTAAAAAGTTTACTTGTCATTAAGCCTATCCCTCCGCAACTTCTCCCGACATGCCTTGGAGCCAGTAGCAGCACATGACTCAGATCTACCCCTGCAGCAAAATTGAACAAGAGGAAATTTTCCTCCAAGGATAAGCTATCTGGAATGGATCTACTCATTTCTGGGGTTTACACATTGATATAAGGTAGATATACAAAAGAGCAGTCAATGCTATAAGACAGGGAAAGATGATGTTAGAAAATTGGTCTGATAAAATTGAGAAAAAAAAAAAAAAATTTGTTATACTTGAGCATGAGCAAGAGCAAGATAACATATATGCAATGCAATAGGATTGTTATGTTGATTTCTTGATTAATATCAATTGCACTAATTAGCCTCACCATAAAACACTAAGTTGTGTATTGCCAATTGACTCAACTACATTACTAGACATCTGTCAGTTTGTTGAAGATCACTTATGGCTAGCAAGTCTATTTAGATTATTCAACAATTAAAACTGCCTTTTGATTTCATTCTCCAGTCGTTATTATGGTATACAAAAAGCCTGAACATAATAGAGCAGTAAATCATCTAAAGCTTAAGATAGCAAGTAGCAGCCAAACGAGCAAAACAACAGATATAGGGAAATAAAGTGACTAAAGAGCTTCGGGAGAGCAGGTTACAGAATTAGATTTCTAAGTGACTACACATGTTGATTCTTTGATCTATCCTTTCATGAATATAAAGTTATTTGGTTCAATTAAAAGGAAAGGGGAAAGGAAAATAGAAAATTGTGTACCTCTTCTTTGAACCAGCCTCTTTGAGACTGTCAGAATCCCCCAATGAGCCATCAATTTCAACACTATGAGCAGATGGTATTCTAAGAAAGAAAAGAAAGTGAGAAAATAATATTATTTGAAAGGGATGGTGAGGTAGATAGAGTCATGGAGAGGAACAAAACCTATAAATTCCATCATGCAACCATCAACTATAATAACCCTCTCGTGTAATTGTGAATTTAATTATGAATTAATGATTTTAATCATAATATTGAAGAATAATTATAACGAAAGTAGAAGAAGAAAAAATAAAGTCACCTTTGGTGAAAAATGAGTTAAAATGAAAGTTAAGGGGTAAAAATATGGGTAGGCAAAATTACCCAAAAGGTAAAAGTAAAAATAGAAACATGGTTTGGCAATGAATAGAGGTGACTACATAGATAAGCCTTTACCCAGTTAAATTTCACTAAACCTATATAAGTGAAAAGTTTCAAAACATTCATTCTTCTTCGTCTTCCACAGTCGACAGAGAGCAAAAATTAAAAAAAAAAAGAGGTTTTGAGTAAAAATATTCCAAAATTCATAGAGAGAGCTAGAGACCTCCAAATCACTTCGTTCCAAAGCCAAACTTGTGAGAAATTTCGAGAGGAACACATTGATACCCATATTTTCGTGTAGGGTTCACTGTATAGAGAGTTCTTCTTCCCCTAAGATTTTGGATTTCATGGAAAATAGGGGTTTTGATGGAGCTTGAGGCCATGAGAGCTTGAAGTAAGCTTTCCCTTTCATTCTTGGGTACATTGTGGTAAGGAATTACCTCTCTTTTCTTGTTTCCATGAAATTTTAAGAATTCTAGGTTTTGTGATGAATAGTGCACGAAAATTTGATGGTATGGATAGTTAGAGAGTGATTTGGATACAGCTTCCTTTGTTAAATATGCTTAGGATTGCTTCTTGATGAAAGACAAAAAAAGAAATCACTGTTTCACTCACTATAGAAAATCATGGTTTTTGACTATATGTCAATTTCGAAAATTAAATGGTATGAGTAGTTGGAGGGTGATTTGTAGGTGAGTCCGTTTGTTAAACATGCTTGGGATTGGTTCCCGTAAAACGAAAAATTATTAAATCGCCATTTAGAACACTTTGATAAATTGGACTAAAAATCAAGCGTAGGTGTCTTATATGTGTAGTCTTGAAAATTGAATGTTATAGACTATATATATGTATTGATTGTCTTCACATATTTGGAATAGGCTGTGATATTGTGAGAGATTGTGGTTGTGACCCCTTGAATACAAGGAGTGCATTGGAGGACAGTGCTTGACAGGTAAGCTTTCGGTCCTTGGGGTTAGTCTCCCGTTTGTTCCACCAAACTCCGAGGGAGGGTAATGATTTGTTATTTGGTGCATGTATATGTATGTATGTTTGTGTGCCACACAAGACGGTAGGATTCATTATTTCCAAATAACAAATCACAAACATACATACATATACACCGTCTTGTGTGGCACACAAGACGGTAGGATTCATTATTTCCTCATACGGGTATGTTGCAAGACAGTGTTTCCTTGCATAATTCATACAATTTATATATTCTCTGGCCAGTAGGATTCATTATTTGCACACTACATTGTCATACATATTCTGATGCATGCAAAGATTTTTTACTATGGTTATACCATAAGTGAGCTTAGAGGCGGAGGAGCCCTCCAAGGGTCCCTAGCTTATTGAAGTAATTATATTATCTCACCCCGCGTTATAGGAATTACCATTTCAGGTACATGAGCTAATGGTGCTGAGGCATCACGTGGCAAGAAGCCAGGCAAGAGATATTACATGACCTGATTGTCAGGATTAGCTTGTTATTTTGATATATACTTGACAGGGTTTATTCAATACAACAGAGCTAAATTTTTCATATGAAGATAGATAAAAACTAAAGGTGTAAATGAGCTAAGCTATTCATGAACTAATTGAGCTCGCCTTCTAAAATGCTCAACCATATCCGTTTGTTTAACTAAACAAATAAGTTCAAGCTTGAGTTTTGGCTCGATGATATAAATGAGCCAAACTCGAGCTTTTATATAGTCTACACATTAAAAGCTCATGAGCAGCCCATGTGTGTATCTATTCAATGAAAAAAGTATAGTAATTTTAAATAAGAAAGGTATAGATAATAATAATATTTTATATATTGCTATTACTTAGTAAATTGTAACCTACCACTTACCTAACTCCAATGTCCACATAGTATTTTAATTTCTTCATGTTTTTACTTCATCCACCAGTATAAAGACATCTAATAAATACTAAATTAATAAACTTAGAAAATACTTCAAAAAGAAATTTGACATAAGGAAATAAAATAAAGTAAAGCTATAACAAGCTAAACACGTAGAGCTCAAGCTTTACATCTTTAAACAAGTCAAGCCTTAACTTTTCAAGTACTCGGGTTCGCTCGACTTGCTTACACCCCTGATAAATACCCAATTAGAAATTCATCAACTTTAATTTCTCATATGCATTCATAAAGCCATCGCCCCAAATTCCCAACTCCCATCTTCATTGCCACCACTAAAAACTTTGGGATCCATCACTAGGACCAACAATACATTATATCATCATAAATCTTCCATAATAAGTTAAAGACAAACCATTTTCAAATAGCAGCCTCTGTCACTGTTCCTGAACATCCTAATCCTAATTCAACCGTACAATTTATATTTTACTGGACAAGAGAAAATTCAGATAGAATGGATCAAACACAAAAAAAAAAGGAAGTTTATTATGAATAATGTAACTAGTCAAGTTGCAGAAACAAAAAAAGTATAGTGCCTCATATCACAGATATATGTGTTAGAGAGGGAAAGGTTATTACATAACAGTAAAAGGGAATGTATGCATCACGAAGATAAAGAATACAATATGCAGAATGGTAAAAATATTAGCAATCCATATTCCATAGGCAAACCCTTCCTGAATTTTACGTAATCAGCCATTCAACCACTTAAGTCTCACACTCAATCTGCCCCCTCACACACACACAAAACATAAAAAAAAAATAAAAAAAAATAAAAAAAAAAATAAAATAACAAAAATTGTCAAGCAAATGCAATATGCAAGACACTGGTATAATTATTTCCCATTTTCATATCAAAACCCACAACCTAGCCTTCCGTCACTAAGTAGAGTTGGCTTCACGGATGAATGGATTCATTGGGCTCTAGCAGAAACCAAATTTTAAGTAAAACCATTTACGGAAGGTTTTTCTTAATGGTTTCTACTAAAGCTTTCATAGATCTTCCTCTATCCCTTAATTAGAATATCTTCTATTTGATCCACTTTTCTCATTGGAGACTCTATCTATCTGCCTTCTTCTCAAATGAATAAACCACCTTAAGTGAGTTCAGTCATCTTCTCCTCAATAGGTTCCATTCTGCAGTCCAACTTTCTCTAAAAAAATTTCTTCATAATATTGCATAAATCCACTCATCCACCTCACCATTCTCACCTCTGCCACATCTATTGTGTTTGTTGGCACTTTCACTACTCCCAACATTCACTTCCATAGAGCATAGAAAGACTTATATGTTATAACTGCTCAGAAGAGTTTTACTTAGTTTGATAGATACTTTGCAATTACAAATTATGCTTGAGGAATCTCTCCATTTCACCCACCTTGATTGAGTCCTAGGTGCGAAAACCATATGACTGTAAAATAACTAAACCGTGCAACTTGCTGTACAAAATGATCCCCAATTTCTTATGATAAGAAGTAAGAACAACCAACTGAAATTGAATGGGGTAAACAAAATAAACGTCATTTAAAAAGCATGAATTACAGGATAATCAATGGTTCTTGAAACACAGACTGCACAGACAATCAAATGCAAAGTAATCTTTAGAAAGATAATTAAGGCAACATGAAAGCTGCAGCAGCAATTAAACTTGTACGACAAAGAATGTCCTGAGGATCTCAATTAATTCTAACCACAAGTTCTACCAGGCATTTATAGACTCAAGCTGCCAAATTGAACAAATCCTAGCATATAATATATATTTTTTAATGACCACTATATGTGACTATTGCATTTCAAAAACATAAATAAAAATAAAAATAAAAAACAATATTACACTTCTTCCATGAACATGGAAAACTTTGCAACCCGTAGAACTTCTTAACAGAGAAATGAAACCCCAAATCCTAAAAATTTAAATTTTACAAAAGCAAAACAGTCAGGCATTATACACACACCGAAATTCTCATCGGGACCAGACTATAAAAACCCTAATTACCAATCAGCAAAAAAGGGGCAAAATCAAAGAGTGCATCAACAAAAGCAAAACCAGAAAACGCAATTGCTTGAATGATCTGTGAGTACCCGACATTGGAAGAAGCATTCAAGGCCTGAGGGGACCAGGTGAACCCGGAGGAAGGGACAGCGAAGGTGGCATCAGGAACGGGAATATCATCAATCAAGCCGTAATCGAAAAGCCAATTGGTGTTTTCCCGGGAAACCATTCTTCGGCAAAGGTTCCCGGAAAATTCAGGATTTTCCGGCGTGGGGGACTCTCTTATTTTCCTGGGAAACAAACAGGGACTGAAGGCTTGCTTGTACGTCTGGAACTTTGGATGTTCAGACAAGAACCGGAAAAAAAAGAATATGGGTTTTGTTTTTTATTTTTTTTTATTTTTATGTTCTGGTGGGATATAAGGGAATCAGGCGTATGTGAGACTGAGTAAGTGAGAGAAAATTTGGTGGCAACTGGCAAGCAGTGATGGGATTCGTCGTCAACGTCAACGACAAAAAAGTTCGCGGCTTAGGCTTGGGCCTCAGCACAAACATTTGAGACCTCCATTTTTGTGTCTTTTAAAATAAGAAAAAGTGTGTGTGATTTTAAATAATAGAAAGTTATGTCATTTTAAGAAAAAATACAGACACAGAAAATTTAAATTTTAAATTAAAAAAAAAACTATTCACTTTCTCTCTCCCATGATATCCATTTTTCTGTGTCTATCTCTTTCCTAAAATAATATAACTTATGTAATTTAAAATGACAAACACCGAACTCTTTAGGATAAGATGGAAATAAAAAAATAAAAAATGGAAATAAGAATTAATTAATCAAAATAAGTATTTGGTTGGTAAGTATCTAACATGCATGAAATGCTAATTAATTTGTATGTGAAATACTTGTAATTTATTTAAGGTGTTAATATTTTTAGAGTAAATGCAAATAAGTTATTTATGTTCACTCCCAAAACGACATCATTTTGAGTTGAAAGATTAAAAAAATATAATGATAAAAATTATTATAATCTTGAAATAAAATATAATTATAAAAATACTTTAATTTTGCCCCAAAACGATTTATTTCAAGTTCAATGCTGATAACTTATCTACATTCATATTAGAAAAAATTAACACTTTATTTAAAGAGGTAATTATTAATTGATCTTGTGATTCTCGTATAAAAAGAATAGTGTCAATGTAAATTCAGATTGAAAGTAAATCTTATATATGACTATTTGTTCACTGTTAAAATTTTTAAGTAAAAATAGAAGTTTTATTTTAAAATATTTTCTTAATTTGGTTCCATAACTATTTTTTTAAAAGTAATTTTGGTTCTTTAAGTGAAATTATCATATATTTTTTGTAGTTATAAAATTTATTATCATTCCCAAAATATGTTACGATTTTGTTGTCCCCAATACAAATCATCTCCTTGAGCTTACTTTTGGTTTAGCTGTAATAAGTATTACTTTACTTTAAATATAAAATTTTGGGGACTTAGACAAAACAAAGCAACATAAAATGATATTTTTTACTAAGGAGCTGTTTGGTTCACGGTGCTTTCCAAGTTTCCTATGCAAATGTAACTAGGATTTCAGAAAACCAATGTTTGGTCGAATAGATTCAGTCAAAAAGGCCATGCATCCAATTTGCCTTGCTTTTCAATTTTCTTATGGATACCCATCTTTTGGCACTGTACAGAAAGCTTTTTATTTGGTGGTTTTTTGTCAAATGATGGGTAAATCACTGTTAACTCAAATTTTTTACACCCATTATACCCTCTCAAATTTTTCATAAACTCGAGAAGAATAGAGAGATGATAGGATTCATGGGATCCTTTATGAATGTGTCTTCCACTGATCGTGAAACCAGTGCCATAGCTAACGCGCGAGTGGATTGGAAGGAGACTCCAGAGGCTCATGTGTTCAGTGTTGAGCTTCCTAGGTTGAAGAAAGAAAAAGTGAAGGTTCAAGTTGAAGATGACAGAGTGCTGCAAATAAGTGGGGAGAGAAGCAGAGAACATGAACACAAGGATGATAAGTGGCACCGCGTGGAGAGAAGCACAGGGAAATTCGTGAGGAGGTTCACTTGAATTTGGAAAACGCAGGGAAATTCATGAGGAGGTTCACATGCTATCAATCAAACTCTCTACCTTTGTAGATCTGGTGCAGGAAAATGCAGAGGCTCACATGTTAGAGCAGACATATGGTTTGCTTTCCTTGGACCAGATAGACTTGGAAAAAAGAAAATTGCTTCAGCTGTTGCAGAGATTATATTTGGAAACAAAGAAAGCCTAATCTCTGTCGACCTGAGCTCCCAGGACAGGTCTTACCCATTGAACTCCATTTTTGAATGCCAAAAGTCATATTGCTATTATGTGCTTAGGAGGAAGACAGTTGTGGATAATCAATTTCCAGCTAAAACTCTGAACCGAATGTCCTTTGAAATTGTATGCTAATGCTTTTTAATACTTGCTCAGTAAACACAAGGGTTATTTTGTAATTTTACTAAATTTATCCATCAATATTTTATCTTCAACCAAACACACATTCAGTTATTTTACTCAATTTTCCCGGTAAAATTTTGTCCAACCAAACAACATTTTTTAAACTTTCCTATATATCTCACTTTTCAACTATTTTCCTAGCAATTACATTTTCCTAGCATTCAACAAATTTCTCCTCAACCAAACACCCCCTAAATATAATAAGAGATGCACCGAGTAATGTGCATATATAGTACTGTAAAGTTTCCCACCTCCTCCGTATACAACATATTCTTAGCATTTATGAGCCAAGTACCCCCTATATTGAACTTTATCATGTAGTGATACCTCATCCACCATTTCAAATAGCTTCGTTTGGATTACTTAGGGACAATGTTAAGCTTTTTGATCCTTTTGTCCCTCATTAATTAATTAATAACAAATTTGTTCCTCTTCCAGAACTATCCACCATTCTGCCCCCCTTTAGTCGATTAAGGTGAATATTTAGTCGACTACATAGCAAAAATACAGAAAATATGAACCCCAAAATTTAATCGACTACAAATGCAGCTTAATCAATTAAATTTCCGAGAGATTTAATCGACTAAAACACGATATTTAGTCGATTAAACGTCGGCAGAAACCCTATATTTTTCATGTTCTCGGTCTCATTTCGAATATTATTGTTGTGTAAACCGAAATATCTCCCTTTTTCATGTGTAATCCTTGCAATCCCATTGTATTTCATCCCACCGTCCCTAAAGCCTTAATATTGTGAAATCATTGTTATTGCACAACTCCAAACCCCCAAAATCCGAACCCAGACCCCCAATTTCAGAACCCTAGTCCCAATTTCGTGTGGAAGATGAGCACAAGTCCAAACATGTATGTAACAATGATCTACTATGATGGAAATCATTATGAAGGCCCCAATGGTGTTCAATTTGAAGGAAAAACAAAAATGTTGAAAATCAAACAGGGCACTACATACAATGAGCTAAAGGGGAGAATTCACCAAAAATTGGGTCTGCAAGGCAGCCAATGCGTTCAGCGGATGATCGCCAGGGTAGAGTCTACAGTTGGTAAGGATGCTATATACTACATTGGTAACGATATATGTGATGATGAAGATGTGGAATGTGTCATAGATGCAATTGTTGACCGAAAATTTCAAAATTTTATTGAGATATATGTTGAATTAGACTGTGGTCAATCTTCATCTGCACCCATGCATACAAGAAGTGAACCGTATTTTGGTCATGAAGAAAGAGTAGTCGATTTATCTGCACCTGCACATGTCATAAGTTAGATAACACTGAGGGAAATAGATGAGGATGAGCAGGAGGAGGATATGGACAATGATGAGGACGGTGAACCTGAGAGTGTTATTCCGCTAGGTGACACGTCAGATACTGACGTATAGGGTGATTTCGACGCTGACACAAGCTCATGAAACCTGAGTTCCCAAGTACTGAGACCACTTCGTGTTGACCCTCTTAGCAGTGGTGAGATTCGTTTTTAAAGATTTAATTTAGCATTTCTTTAACATGCTATCATTGGTATTAACAGTGGCTTTATAAATTTTGACGTAGGTTTTAAGATCGAGCCATTTTGGAACGAAAGCTCACATTATTCCTTCATTAATTGGGCCCACCCTAATGATGAGACTGAGATATTGTATGGTGACGATGACTTGCACGGTGGCTGGAAATTAGGGGATCCATTATATTTGTATCAGGAGTTTCGTAGCAAATCTCAAATGCAACATGCAGTCAAATTATATTGTATGAAGGCTCACCGTACTGCCGTTGTGGCAAAAAATGATGACCATAGATTTGTGATGAAGTGTCGACACCATAATGATGGATGTCCCTGGTATGTGAGGGCATTGTTGCCAAAGAATGAAAATACTTGGGTGGTCAGTAAGTGGGAAAAAGAACACACCTGCCCAAACCAATGTCTTACCCGGGATCATAGAAAGTTGGATTCTGATGTGATATGTGCAGCCATTATCAGTATGTATTATTCGATGTATCTAACTTCCTAAGGTATGTTTACGTTTATCAGTTTGTATTCTGACGGTTGATTCGTGTTTTTTTTTATATATAGGTATGTTAAAAGAAGATCCATCTTTAAAGCCAGTTCTTATTCAAGAGAGGGTACAACGTTTGTATGCATACAACATATCTTACAGGAAGGCTTGGAAGGCTAAAATGAAGGCCATTGTCAAGTTATTTGGTGACTGGGATAAATCGTATGCTTTCTTTCCTGGTTGGCTGACATACATGACGCAGGTTAATGTGGGTTTTGTGTTCAAGATTGATACGGACCAATGTGTTGATGAATGTTGAGTTTACACGGATAAGGTTGTCTTTCACAGGGTATTTTGAACCTTTCACTAGTGCATTGAGGCCTTCAAATATTGTAAACCCATAATCCAAATTGATGGCACGCATTTGTACGGTAAATACAAAGGAACTCTCTTGATTGCTACGTCACAAGATGGAGATGGATACATTCTTCCTATTGCCTTTGTTATTGTTCCTCTGGGTGAGAGATTGGATGATTGGTCGTGGTTTCTTAGTCTCATGTGTTTTCATGTCACGCATAGGCATGGCATTTTTCTAATATTCGATCGTCATCCCAGCATCACAAGAGTTGTAAGAGATCATGCCGGTTGCAGCCACCACTTGCGTACACGTGTTTTGTCTACGTCACATCGGAAGCAACTTTAACACTAAGTTTAGGGATGTGGAATTGAAGAAAACTCTGATAAAGCTAGGTACGCAATTTCTTTAATATGTACAAATTGTATCTAATGCATCCTTCTGTATCTAACGCATGCAATTTTCATGTATTCCAGGGTACTTGAGTTCAAAGATTCATTTTGATATCAGATTTCAGGAATTTATCGACAGTAACCCTCAAGTA